CTTTAGATCTCCGATCTTGTTCACCAATTCACGAACTAGTGCTGTCTGTAAGAATTTTGTAAGAATGACAAAATATTCTCTGTATCTAACTATCTATATACATATATATATATTTAGTTTTGAAGGCAATGACATAAAATATTCTTGCCCCTGATCTCCAGACTTTCATTCATATGCTCTTACATTCCAGTTTTTGTTTTACATTTATTGCTTTAGTGCAATATTTATGGTGTAATCTGTTTTGTGTTTATTGGACCACTCTGGAAATAAATCCTGTTATAGTTAATTAAAAGACTTTCAACCATTTACAATCTAGAAATACAGGCAAATTAATATGTGGGGATTCTCCACATCTGTAAAGAAAACCGGCCTAGAAATGATAAACAGTTCACTGTAATTATATATAGTTAAAAACTAATTTAACTTTGTTCCATAAAAAATATTGTGCTCGGTTAAGTCAAAGTTTTAAAATTTTGGAATAGGTTTAAACTCAAAAAAGCAAACTATACGCCAGTAACAACCAAAATATATAGTTATCCTAATATGTTTAGGGTCAAGCAAATGATTGCAAAACATAAAGTCTGATTGGATTACTTCAATTTCACATAATAATCCATGTTTACCTCAAAATGAGAAAAACAGACACATATGATAGTAATAATGATGATGGCTGGATAATGAACTCCTGACATTACATTTATAATCAGAACACAATTGGTTAACTCTTATTCATATTCAGGCAAAACATATGAAGAGTTTTGACGGGTTAAGCTAGGCACTAGATAGTACATTTTTATCCTATCACTAAAACCAAGTTTTTAACATTTTCTCTCAGCAAATATTACTGTGGTTAGTGCTGCTCTGGTTTGCTGTGTGTAAACACCGCCCTGGTTTGACAATAAAAGGCCAACCCAAGAACCAAAAAAAAATGACAGTCCCTGATTCTGGGAGATGTTATGCTTAACAAGTGTTTTTTTCTTTATTTAGCAAAACAAAAAAAATAAGTAAAAAAAAAAGATTTTCTTTAAAATAATGTTGTTTCTATTTTAAAACTCTACCCCCAATTTTTGGTGTTTTTTTGAGGCAACAGAGGAGGGCAAACAAATTCCTTTTTTAGGTCTGATTATGATGGTGATGATGATGATCAATAAGTATGCCTAAATATTTATTATAGACTGAAACAGATAGGGGTATACAGGTAACATGCTTTAAAAATCTCATTAGCATACTGAGATCATGATATGATTTTCATTGTAAATGGTTTGCATAAGATCATGATGTTATAAAACATCACAACATCATGTCGAGTTTGTGATCTTCGATGTAAATTGAGCTATGTGCAGTGTAGACCTGCCACTTATTCCTACAGCATAGCAATTACAATGGATTTTCAGAATCTCAAGAGGAAAAGTAATAGCGTGTTTGTGGAAAAAAACAGAACAGTTTAACTTTTTCCAATGTCATTGACATAGTGAAAGGAAAGCACAGGCTTCAGATACTTACCTTTGGTAGCAATCACACAAGCAACACTTGCATCTACCTTGGTGACAACGGATCCACCTAACAAGGTGATTTGTTTCTTCAACTCCTTAGAAGTTTTACTAAGGCCACTGCAGAGTACTATCTTAGCATTCTCTAAGGGCAAATCTTTTTCAGTCTTCACACTATTTGAAGGATAATAAGAACAGATAATTTTCTGGTATACTGGTTCAATACTGTAAACAGCCCCTTTTTCCAATTACTCTGCTGCATAAAGATACTTGGATTTATGGTGTATCACACATTATTTTTCATAATTAAAAAACAAAAATTTACACACTGCATTTTTTTTTGCAATAATTTGTTTTTTTCATTTCAAGTCTTTCATATTTGTGATAGGGCTGTGATATCTGCAAAGATACAAACTCTTTTTAATCTGTTTTTAGGACAGACGAGCCAGATGCCAGTTTTATTTGTGCACTTGTGAGTTCTGAGCCTGCCAACTACTGCTTTCTAGTAGTATTTAAACTGCAGAAGAACGGTGTGGTGATCCATGGTTCCTCTGCTTGTGTTTCGTTTTGGTTTCTTGTTCAAAGGATAATTTAGGATAGATCCTTGGGTCAGTTTTTCCCATTATTGGTGATCCGCATCTAGTGCGGATCACCTCTTTTTATTGTCAGGATCATCATCATCTTTTTTTTTTATTCCCTTTTTCGTTCGCACGATATCTCAAAATCGCTACGAGGTACACACAAAATCGCTTCATCCATCATTTTGGCTTTGCCTGGAATAGACATGGTAAGGTTTTCAAGGTGACCAGTCATGCGTGACGTCAGCTACGCGCAATTTTGCGTTTTTACATTATCGATCATATCAGACTAACCATTTGCAATTTTGAAATCGTAAGTGAGCATTAACTTCAGGTCAATGTTAAATGTACTGTACCCTAATTTTGTGCGTGTGCTTCGTAACGCGTGCATCAAAATTTCAAAATGCTCGAAATCACTTTTTGACTAAATTAGAGCACGTTACATGCCATTTTTAGCATTTCAAAATTTTTTGAAATTTACTACTACGCGTGCAGCACGTACAGAAGCTAGAAATTAAGTTTTTTTGTCACATTTTGGGTTCCTGACATTGTTTTTACAAGTTTCCATTCTCTTCAATCACCTTCTGGCCAATAACAATGCTGTACGCACGCATCAAACATAGTGAACTTTGTGTGCATTTGTGCCGATATACAGTAAAATTTCACTAAAATCAGGCCTAATTTTAAACAGTTACAGCTCTTTAGGATGGAAGGTGACCCCCAATTTTTATTACATATTCTGAAAGCACACGAGTTGTAAATATGATTTGTTAGCTCATAATGGCCGATCGGACATTGTGACGTCATCATATTGCCAACTGAATTCAACAAATTGAATTTTATCGAAGACGTCATTTTTTAAAATGCGCATTTGAGCGTATCTCGCTTATTCTTGGTCAAATATTGAGGGTCCCTAATGATCAGCTTCAGCTGGATGGACCACCCTCATTAAAGATTGTTGAAATAAAAAATAAAATATAATCGTCTTCCAAGTTTGAGTATGTTATAGCGGAGGCAATTCTCTTTCATTATGTGACTTCTTTTTACATTTTGATGACGTCATCATGGTCAAAATAAAGGTTTTTTATGACCCCCTCATCTTTCTTTCCTCAAACATTTAATGACTCCATAATCACCTTAACCATTAGTGATTTCTGAATGATATTTAGTGGACATAAACTTCAGGTCATGGTTAAATGTTATGTAGCTTAATTTCTTGTGCGCGCGTACGCGTACGTCAAATTTAAAATGTGCCTAATATCATGCATTTTTTTAATCAGTTTAAGGGTTTTTTTTTTTAATCAGTTTTAGGATAAAAGATGACCCCCAATTTTTATTACATATTCTAAAAGCACATGAGTTGTAGATATGATTTTATATATCATAATAGCTGATCAGACATTGTGATATCACCATATTGCCATCTGAATTTTTTTTTTTTATTTATATATGATAAATATTATGAATGATAATTACTCCGTGACCAGCAGGCGTTTGTCAATGAAAGTTGATACATAAATATCTCATTTCAGGAGACAACATTCTGTGACATTAACATGCGCATGTGTGTCATGATGTGCGCGTACGCATGAGTATATCTTTTAAAGTGTTCCAAATTCTTTTTAAAAAAAGCTGAAATAGCATATATTTAAGCCATTTTCAGCATTTAAATATTGTTCAATCAGCACCGCGCATACCTCCTCAAGGGTCAAAGTGCGGCGGATCACCTAACTCGTCCTCAAATGACGAGTTCAAATCTAGTTCTTTTATTTTTTCTCAGCGCATTGAGACTTCCTTGGTATTATGTTTCCAAAAACACTGACATTTTTTTATAACAATGGAAATGATACATATATACTCAAATACCCACATACATACATTGCCACATTTATAAAACTTACTTGGTAGCATCAGTGCCTGGCCTGGCAGACGATGCAGATGGTTCAGGTGGAAACACTCTCACACCACCATTGAAAGGCTTGAATTTGAATGTTTTACTGAAAAAGAACGATAGTAACAAACTTATTCAAAAACAAAACAGTACATTATAAGCACAAAATAATAAAATGCGAGTTCTGCGCATGTGTTCATGGAGTAAAGTTCACATCAAACACATGCTCTGAAAACTTACCAAATTCTAAGGAAATTTAGATCTCAACAGGTATATATTTTGAGAGGTATTTATACAGTATGTTGGCTAATACAGTACAGTCATGAAATATTGCACTTTTACCTGCGCGCAGGCTTCGTAGATACATCGTAGCCTGAAATAAACAATCTGACCTGCGCGCAGGCTTCGTAGCCTGATATAAACAATCTAAGCAAGGCTACGCGAAGCGAACCTACGAAGCAAAAGCATGTTGTTTATT